GTATTTGTTATGTTCTTCCTCTGTGCTAGACTATGAATTATGACTACTTGCTGTTAATGTGCCTTGTCCTCATCTTGCCATAATTGGATACATTTTGTTTTTTTCTGGAAAAATTATATAATTAAACTTGTTAGAACTATGCCTGAAATGTTGAATGTCTGATAGGCTATCCTGGGAATCAGATGCATGGTAAGGCATTTATTTTTGCTATTCATTTTTCCATTGTTGAGGTTTTTGGAGAAGTGAGAAGTTTCTAGAAAGTCTTATGAACTGAGATACCACCTTACTGGGGTCGTCTGCTAGTGAAAAGATGAGCAGTTAGGGGCAGGTAAGCATGTTTGCTTGGGAAGGTAGAACTGCAGCCACTACCTGAACCTCACCACAGTTCACAGAGAGGCAGCATGTAGTTCATCAGTGCATCTTCCCCCAAAGCTGCACGGTTGGCTGTTGTCGGAGAGCACCACAAGTTCTGGGACTGTAACCCGCAGAACCCATCACTGCAAGGACTGTCCAGAGTGAGGCAGCTGTTGCAGAGCTTAATTCTTCCTCTCTTCCCTCAGGGCTTCAGAGCCCTGTGAATGCATCCTGTGAACAGTCTGGTTTGTGCAGAATTAAGAAGCATTTGGTGTGACTTGTTTCAACAAGTTCTTGAAGAAAATAAAGCTTCACAAATAGTTATTGAGACCAGGTGCAGTGGCTCATGCCTGTAATCCCAACACTTTGGGAGGCCGAGGAGGGAGGATCACTTGAGGCCAGCAGTTGGAGACCAGCCTGGACAATGTGGCAAGACCCTTATCTCTAAAAGAAAAAAAGGGGGGTAGAAAAAGGAAATGGTTATTGAAATTCTACTAAACAAGTACAAACCATCCCCTCTGTAGATGAAGAGCCAACCAAGTCTCTGTATACAGGAAGAAGGAAAGAGGAAGCTGTTGTCAAAATAATACTGACGATAAGTAACTGAATCAAATGGGATGATTCTGCTCTAAGAATCAAACCTGAGCCTGTAGGTTCTAAGAAAGCAAATGGTGGCTGGGTGCAGTGGCTCACGCCTGTAATCCCAACACTTTGTGAGGCTGAGGTGAGGAAATCACGAGGTCAGGAGTTCGAGACCAGCCTGGCCAACATGGTAAAACGCTGTCTCCACTAAAAATACAAAAAAATAGCTGGGCATAATGCCGGGTGCCTGTAATCCTGGCTACTCAGGAGGCTGAGGCAGGAGAACCACTTGAACCCAGGAGGCAGAGGTTGCAGTGAGCCGAGATCGTACCACTGCACTCCAGCCCAGGTGACAGAGAAAAAAAAAGAGAGAAAGCAAATGGTTAAACTGTTCAATTTTGATATAGCTGAAACTATGAGCCCCAAATCCTTGGAATTTGGGAGGTTCCTTCAGAGCAGGTCAGCTGGTAGAAGTTCTAAAGTCATCATTTAACTATGCATCAGAAAAGCATGGCTTAACCCACAGGCAAAAGTTAAGTGACAGAAACATTTGGTGACAAGGAAAGCAAGTTTTAATTTTTTTAATCTTGACTGAGTTGTACCATTCAAATCATTCTTGTCAGAAATATGCAAAGTATTTCTCATAAATATTTTAGTTATTAACTCATTCTTATGCACAGAACTTTTTTAAATAAGCCATTGTTTGGTTGATCATTGACTGATATAGACAGGCTACAACTTAGCTGAATGAAGCAAGATATTTGTATTTTTAAAATTTTATTTTCTCATATGTGAATTGCCGATTTTATCTCTGAAGTTCTCTGACCATTCCTGCTCCCTTAATAATACATTTACTGTGTTCACTGAGAAAGTATTCAAATTTTAATATTGGCTACAATTACACTTTGTCAGACAAATCTCCATGGAGAAATAATGTAATCAGTGCTTTACGGGGACCATGGTACATATCAACATTAGCTTGCTGCCATTTTTTAAAAATCAGAACAACTCACTTGCCCAGGTACATAAATTGCCTTTGCATTTTGAATTATTTCTGATGCTATTTGGACATTTAGGGAGTCAAAGAAGATGGTTCCAAAGTAGGTGGGAAAAAATCATTTTTTAGCATATTAAAATGCTAATACCAGCAGCTCATTTTCTACAAAACAAAATAATAAGAACGAAATATAGAAGACGTTCCAAAGCCCAGAGACGCCAGTAGCTTGAAAATCACACAGCCTGTGGTATTATCTGCATTGCTTTGGATACTGAGTGATGAGTGTATTTGCTTTAAATTTATAAATTATTGTCATTGAGTTCTACTGTTTAAAATTGTTGCTCTCTTGTAAGGAAGCTTGCATGGTACTTGTCTGCTAGTAATGATTGCTTTGGAGATTAATCTATATCTTGTTTTATATTTGCAGAAGTGTAAATAATATAAAACAACTGAAGTCAAAGTATATGCAAATACCTTTTATTTTTTCTTATTTTTTGAGGGGTGGACAGAGTTTCACTCTTGTTGCCCAGGCTGGAGTGCAGTGGTGCGATCTTGGCTCACTGCAACCTCCGCCTCCCGGGTTCAAGAGATTCTCCTGTCTCAGCCTCCCAAGTAGCTAGGATTACAGGTCCATGCCACCATGTCCAGCTAACTTTTTGTATTTTTAGTACAGACCAGGTTTCACTATGTTGGCCAGGCTGGTCTTGAACTCCTGACCTCAGGTAATCTGCCCTCCTTGGCTTCCCAAAGAGCTGGGATTATCATGAGAATTGCTTAAACCTGGGAGGCAGAGGTTGCAGTTAGGTGAGATTACATCACTGTACTCCATCCAGCCTGGGTGACAGAGCGAGACTCTGTCTCAAAAATAAATACATACCTACGTACATACATACAAACATATTAATCAGAAGAAATGGAAGTAGTAATGAGAAAATATATAAAGTTAATTTTAGAAACCAGTATTTGTGCAGAGTGACGGAAGATGTTACAGATCATGCTTTGCAAAATGGAGGGACTCAAAAGCGATTTCTGAATTAAATTATTTATCATTTGAGTCCATATTTTTCATATTTTGTATTGTTCCTATCTATTATGAAATCTCTGCTTTGGCACCAATAGACACATTTAGACTGCCCTATTGTGCTTGAAAAGTGTGACTAAAGAGTGGACATTCAAAATCGTGCCCTTTTCTTTGGTTGTTGTGTGATTCATCTGTAGAAACCCCCTGCAGCACTGAGTCAGGCATCATCAGAGTCAGTGTACTCAGAGGTCTAAGAGTCCCTCCCAACAGGATGGTTTTTTGATTCTTGGGGGTTTTTTGGCTTCTCTTTAGAAGTCTGATGCAGACCTAAGTTTTCCTTCAAGAAATCTCATTGAGTGCTGATAGGACCTAGTCCAAGTTGAATGTGACCCCAGACTGGAATACTGATAGATGTATAATTATCTAGTATTATTTCTGTTTCTTTCTTTATTTTTGAGACGGAGTCTTGCTCTGTTTCCCAGGCTGGAGTGCAGTGGTGCAATCTCAGCTCACTGCAACCTTCGCCTCAAGTGATTATCCCACGTCAGCCTCCTGAGTAGCTGGAATTACGGGTGCCCAGCACCATGCTTGGCTAATTTTTGTATTTTTAGTAGAGATGGGGTTTCACCATGTTGGTCAGGCTGGTCTTGAACTCCTGACCTTAGGTGATCCACCCACCTCTACCTCCCAAAGTGCCAGGATTACAGGCATGAGCCACTGTGCCTGGCCTAATTATCTGGTATGTATTTTTAAATATATCTTCAAAGATGAACCTTATACACCCTTCACAATGACAACTTTAGCTTCCTAAATTGTGGCATAGTGGATGAGTCGTAAGCAGATCAAGCCAGTGTCCTTTGGAGCAGAAGGCAACATGGGGCATAGTAGGAGCCTAGTGTTTGAATCATGGGACTAGATTTGAGTCTTGCCTCTGCCTAGCTGTGACATGAGAAAGTTAATAAACCTCCTAGAGCCTTAGGTTTGCCCACCTGTTAAATACAAATGTTGAAGATAATGTCTCTGTTGTGGAGTTCTAAGTAACAACCTAGATACAGTGTGTAAAGGTACTCTGTCAATCTAGAAAAGTCTATACTTGTTTTTCTTGTTATTTTTATACTGTTCCTATTCTTTTTCCTAGAAGTGGATAACATTCACACACACATACATTATATACCTTTATGAATGTGCTATTGAAACAGTCTGTGTTTTTAATGATGATTTGCCTCAACTAATAACAAATCATTTTACTTTTAAAAATCTAGTTAAAGAACCCCAAAATGAAAAGATAAAGCTTTAACACATGTTAACAGCAAGGATTAGAATTAGCCTATACTGTCACAGCAGACATATTTAGTGCTCAGATTAGTCCCTGATGCATTCCATTAAGGAACTCCCACTGATTTAGGAGATATAAATATATGTGGTAATGCATATGGAAAAAATGGAAACTGCTGAGTATCAAAATTCACTGTTTGATTGGAAGTAGAGTGATTTTTCCTGGTAGTCTGGTTGCCATATGCTATAAAGTAGAAAGATTATCACCTGCACTCTTTACCTTTTTTTCTAAATACATTCTTGAAAAACAGCCTCTGTTCCAATTCCTCCATCAAATTATAGATGTGGAAGACAGTGCCCAACCCTTGAGGAGTTTACTCTGTAATAGACCCTTAAACCAGATATAAAGAGAATTCTGCTGTGGAATCGTGATCCAGGGAAGTGCTAGAGGAGAGCGTCACCTGGTTGCAGACACCCAGGAATACTTCCCTAAGCTTCTGTGACCATTTTGTAGCATTCTCACAGCACCTACACATTATGCCTTCTATTTTCACCCACGTGTGATTTGCCTCTCTAGATTATAAACTCCTTGAAGATGGAAAAGTCACTTTATTTCTTGGTCCCTCTCTATACAACACACCTTTCATTCAAGCCTCAACCAGTATTTGTAGTTCAAATAGAGATTTGTACCTAACATTCTGATTTAGTCAAAAACATATCTTAAGATGTGTTTATGCTCTAACTGTCTTTTTCTTTCTTCTGTCTTCGCAGTTGACCTGCCTCTGTTTTTTCCTCGAGACCAGCCAACGCTCACATTTCAGTCCGTCTATCACTTTACCAACAGTGGACAGCTTTACTCCCAGGCCCAAAAAAATTATCCGTACAGCCCCAGATGGGATGGAAATGAAATGGCCAAAAGAGCAAAGTAAGTGAATCTGTTATTTCCTACAGATAAGAGCATTTTGTTTATCTAGTCCAGGGGTTGGCAAGCTACTGCCTGCAGTCTAGATCCTGCCTTGCACCTATTTTTGTAAATAAAGCTTTATAGAAACACAGCCACACCCATTTCTTTGCTTGTTATCTATGGCTGCTTTAATGCTGCAATGGCAGAGCCAGTTGTTGCAACAAAGACTGTATGGCCTAGAAAACCAAAAAGATTTACTGTATGGCCCTTTGTAACTTGATCAGGAAGAAACTGATCTATATCTGAAAATGTTTCCTTTTTCTACTGTTTCTGTTGGTCTCTAAAATTAGCCGTGACCGCATTTTTTTCATGGAATGAAGAATTTATCAGAAAAGACCTCTCTATTTAGAGTAGAGAAGAAATACTAAGTAGGAATTCAAGTTGTGGGTAAATGGCATAAGTGATTAAAATGTTGGCAGCTACTTTTTTATAGTTTTTTTAAAAATGGAAAATTTCAGGTGGCAGTAAACAGAATTTCGCTTAGTAGTCAATACCTGGAGCCAGTAGCCACTCTTTCGTATGGAAATGAATCTCTGTGAATTCTATACCTCATTGCATCTCTGCAGTGTATACCACAGCCAGTTGCCTAAAGTAAGACCTGTGTATTTCTTGGTCAAATAAACAGCTATGCAAATAAATAGCTTAGGGCTATTAAAATAGATATGGAAGTAGGATTTCATAGAGATTGAAGTTGGCTAAAGTTTGGAGTTTAGAGGTACAGCTATTGCTCATGAACCTCTCAGTGTGGAAGGCTCTCACTTCAGTCATCCAGAATAGGTAAATATAGAAATATGCTGAGTGTTTTTTATATTTAAGACTTTGGTGTCTGGAACATCAGTCTTCATGAACCATGGCCTCCTAGATTGAAGAAGGATCAAAATCATAGTTTCCAAAAATAAATCATGGAGTGGCATGTGGTTATTACTTTCTCGCTTGGAACAGCCATATGCTTCACACCTGTGATCCCAGCTGAAGGATGTTCAGATCCAAAGGATCACACAAATATAGACTATCTATTAAGCATCCTCTTCATTTGCTCATCCAGTATTTATTAAGCATCTACCATGTTCCAAGCATTGTGCTCTATGCTAGGAATATAATGATAAACAAATTGGAAATTGTCCCTGTCTTCATGGAATCTACAGCCCAGCAAGGGAGATAAAGCCTTTATCATATGAAGCTTCTGACAGTTTCAAAGTACCTACAAACAAAGCCTGGACCTCCAGATCTGGAATGTTCTTGAATAGCCGTGACTAATCAAGAACTTAATCGGACTTGTTCTTGCCTCCTCCTCCCAGAGAGACTCCATTCGCTTCCATGGGGGCTCCCAGCCTCACATGTATTTTTCTGTAGTACTAGACCTTCACTTATAGCAGGCTTGAGACCCTTTGTTTTTTTTTGTTTTCTTTTGTTTTGTTTGAGACAGAGTCTTGCTCTGTCACCCACACTGGGATGCAGTGATGTAATCTCAGCTCACTGCAACCTCTGCCTCCTGGGTTCAATCAATTCTCTTGCCTCAGCCTCCTGAGTAGCTGGGACTACAGGTACGTACCACCATGCCTGACTAATTTTTGTATTTTTTGTAGAGACAGGGTTTTGCCATGTTAGCCAGGCTGGTCTTGAACTCCTGACCTCAGATGCTCTACCTGCCTCAGCCTCCCAAAGTGCTAGGATTAGGTGTGAGCCACCACACCCAGCCTGAGACTCTTAAATAATGAAAGGGTGTCTTCTAGAAACCAAGACTGCCTCAGATTCATATGCGGAATCCTGAGTTGTTATCTGAAACTAATGTGCCTTCTTCTTTCCCTTTATTTTGTCTTTTTATCCATGACACCCAAGTCTGAAATTCCATTAAGGACAAAAACAAGCATATGCAAATATAACCATTAACAATGATTAAGACTTAGATACCTTGAAATGCAGTGGAAAAAAGGAGTTACAAAGGATGTTTTATGCTTAAAGGATTGATATTGTTTAATTTTCTGGGCTTTCCCTGTGTATACATAGGACTTACCCTTTGAAGATGGGCATTATTTGTGGTATGTGCTGTGGAGTCTGAACCAGACATGTCTTTGTGGTTTCCATGGCAAAACTATCTTGGTGTGTGTGTATGTGTGTGTGTGTGTGTGTGTGTGTGTGTGTGTTTTTCTTCAGTAGACATTTTAGCATGTATGAATTGAGTCTTGAAGAAGTTGCAGACCACGAGCCTGTGATTTCAGTGTAGGAATATCATAAGTGAAGGCTGTTTATCTTAACAGATTGGTTCAGAGTTTCAAGAGACATTTGCTTTATGTTAACACCAGTCTAAAGAAAACATCTGAAGTAATGTTTAAAAAATCTGCTTTCTACTGTAGTGAGGATGAATCCATTTTAAATATAATAAAGGAGAAAGCCAGCAGCTCGTGCTAGCAAGAAGAAATAGTTTAAAGTTTCCATTCTTTAACTGAACTAGTAACTTCTCTGGACTGTGTCAGAAAGCCAGATAAACACGGTAGAAGAAGTGTCCTGCAGTATAGGCTTGAGACTGGTGGAGAAGTTTGAAGAAAAAAGATGGAAAGAGAGGAAGGTCAACTGTAGCATTCCTTCCACACCCTGTTTCTTTGTCCTGTGAAAATACTGTATGTACACAGTGCGTAAAAGGCTGTAATTCACTTGGGGAGCTCTGCCCATGACATAAACACGCTCACGGTTTATGACCAGCAGTAGAGCCTTTTTTGAGTGGAATCAGCTGTTTATTCCCTCCTGTAGAGCAAAATTCTAAACAGTGTAACCTCAGAAAGGACACTTCCTGGCACTGACCAGGCTGTTCCTACCACATGTGCTTCTTTCTTTCTCATGGCTGTCCAGCAAATTCTGTCCCTCACAAGTGAAATACCACTTACAGGGTGAACACAGGCTTCGGGGTCATGCATGCCCCAGTTGCTATTGCAAAGTCTAATCCTGCAAGCTCTGTGGTCTTGGGCAGCAAGTTAACATGTGGAAGACTGTGGGTTTTAGCTTCTGCTGTGTACCTCAGTGCCGTTGCTCGTGCCTTTCCTCCCACCCTCTTTCTGCCCCTCAAATCAGCACATCCTTCAACCTTCTCCCATATGGGTTTTCCCATCCATCCTACTTTGCTGGCAGCTCGTTCCCCTCCTCCCCGTCTCCTTTGACTCTAATCACATAGGGCTTTGGAATCTCTTTTGTATTTTCTTGATGTTTTTCACATCTTCATATTTATTTTGTTTCCCTAACCAATCCATGAGTTCTTTGAAGGCAATGGCTTTGCATATATATCCTTTTTTAAAATCACAGTGTAATTTACATACAATGGAGTGAACAGGTTTTAAGTATATCTTTTGAAAAGTTTTGAGAAAACTACCTTTATACCCTCTTTCCAAATAGTTTCACTTTCAAGGCTACTCTTCTAACTTCTACCCCCATGTCTTAGTTTTTCCTTTTAGATACTTCTAAATGGGATAATACAGATCATCCTCTTTTGTGTCTGACACAATGAAAATTATATTCATTTCATTCAACATAATTAAGATGTGTCTATTATGGTGGCCCAGTGCGCTGGCTCATGCCTGTAATCCCAGCACTTTGGGAGGACAAGGCGGGCAGATTACCTGAGGTCGGGAGTTCAAGAACAGTCTGGCCAACATGGTGAAACCCCGTCTCTACTAAATATACAAAAATTAGCCAGGCATGGTGGCATACGCCTATCATCCCAGCTACTCTGGAGGCTGAGGCAGGAGAATGGCTTGAACCCAGGAGGTGGAGGTACAGTGAGTCGAGATCGTGCCACTGCACTCCAGCCTGGGTAACAGGGTGAGTCTCCATCTCAAAAAAAAAAAAGATTGATCTGTTATGGCATTTCTTTCTTACTGCTGAATAATATTCCATTATATGAATATAGCATAATGTATTACTCTGTTTCCCTGTGTATAGATATTCGTGTTGCTTCCAGGTTGAGGATTTTATTAATAATGCTGCTGTGAACAAGCCTTTTTATAGACATGTTTTCTTTCTTCCGGTAAATACCTAGGAGTGGGAGTATATATGTGATTAACTTTATAAGAAAGTCAAAAGCTTTTTCAAAGTTGTATCTGTTTACCCTTCCATCAGCAGTATGCCAGGGTTCCAGTTGCTTCACATCCTCACCAACACTTCCTATTGTCAGTCTTTTTAAATTTAACCATTCTAGAGAGGATAAAGTAAGATCTCATGTTTTAAATGTACATTTCCTGGTGATAAATGATGTTCAGCATTTTGGCATGTGCTTATTAGTTTATCTTCTTTCATGAAATGTCTGTTCAAATCTTGCCTAGTTTCAGTTTGGTTGTTAGTCTTGTATTAAGGAGTTTTATATATGAGTTTATTTATATATTTGTCAGATATATTTGTTATGAGCATTGTCTCTCCATCTGTGGCTTGCCATTTCGTTTTCTTTTTCCTTTTTTTTTTTGAGATGGAGTTTTGCTCTTGTTGCCCAGGCTGGGAGTGGCACTGGCATGATCTCAGCTCACTGCAACCTCCGCCTCCTGGGTTCAAGCAATTCTCCTGCCTCAGTCTCCAGAGTAGCTGGGACTACAGGCACCTGCTACCATGCCTGGCTAATATATATATATATATATTTGGTAGAGACAGAATTTCACTGTTGGCCAGACTGGTCTCAAACTCCTGACCTCATGATCCACCTGCCTTGGCCTCCCAAAGTGCTGGGATTATAGGCATGAACCACCATGCCCAGTCTCTTTTTCCTTTTTTTAAATAGAGACAAGGTTATGCAATGTTGCCCAGGCTGGTCTTGAGCCCCTGGGCTCAATCTTCCTGCCTCGGCCTCTCAAAGTCTTGGGATTACAGGTGTGAGCCACTGTTCCTGGCCCATTTCATTTTCTTAAGCGTGTCTTTTGATGAGCAGAAAATCTTCATTTTTTTAAATGAAATCTATTTTCTATGTTAATGCTTTTTATGTACCC